TTCATTAAAGATATTCATTCAATGTTGTCACTGGTTGCTAACATCAAGTCAAGACCCACTACTTACTACGGAAAGCTGTGTTCAGTTATGAACCTGTAGTTACTAAGAGATTCTCTAGTGGAAACGGAAGAATATCGAGAATATCTTCAGCAAACCGCTGCCGACAGTCACACAGTCTCACTGCACAATTCTTCGTACTTGCTAACAATCAACACTCTGTGGCCTTTGTGCATTCCCTGGCTCACAAGCATTTCTTCGCTCCATCCATTACTAAACCCACCCAACTAAAAAAAACGAAAAGAAGTGTTGAAATACGTCCTAAAACGGAAATAGAAACGACAAAGGCAAAATTAGGATTACGGTGAAGAACTAGACCGACGATCTACTGCAATGAGCAATGGCACCGTTGATGAATTCAACCAGCACTAAATGCATCTTACCTAGAGAGATTGGTCGCAATTTTGCTTATTTTCAAGAAATGTATTCAAGAAAAGCAGGACGACTCATGAGCACAAGCGCAGTTAGCAAGACAACTAGCCAGTGATCAGAGTGAAAAAGCGGTATTTTCTCTGCGGCTCTGGCGACCAAAGGCGTGGAGGCATTCCGCGTACGACCTAACCGCAAAGCACGCCATTCAGAAGGACAGCTACCTAGGAGCGGCACTTTCCTCATTGATTCGGCAAAAACTGACCAAGTGAAGCGTAAAAATCGCTACCGATTCCTTGACGGTGTTTGATTATCGTTTAGCTCTGAAGACACACCACCATGACAAGGTGTAGGGCAGAACGTCGAGGATGCGATCATGCGAAGAAATACATGAGATATCACGCAAATTGTCAGCGATGTGATCTGCCAAACTGATGCCGCGCACAAGGCGTCGTTCCGCAGAGACGCCACAATGCTGAACCTCCAGCGAGGAAAGGTTCCTTCATCACATAATCGAGAGAAGGCGCATAGCTGCACTGGCCAAGAAACGCTTTTTAGGATAGCAGATGTATAGAACAGCACAATAGCAATTTTCGCGAAAGAAATAAACTTCTCGAAACGGTTTTTGAGCAGTATGTTTTCTTCATCACCTCGAGTTCATAAGGATTTCATAATAACTGCGCTACAAATATCCTGTACAAATATATCTAGAAGAAGTATTTAAATTCGAAATCTAGATTGAAATTCTCAAACCACAACTGTACTTACTTTCAACTTTAGACGGTTACGTCCCTCATCGTCTATGTGATCGTCATCTTCATCTTCTTCGTAAGTCTCCGGATCAAAGGGTTTTTGCGCAACAGAGAAGAAGTTCGGAATCTAAACAATAAACTTTCACACTTCACTAAAATTACTAAAAAAAATAGAGAAGACCTACGAGACCTTCATGAACTGGATCCCATCACCGAAATCACAATTCACTTTGCTCACAGTTATCTGAAAAAGGTGAAGTTGTGCTCTCCTATGTCAGAGGAGCCATTCCCTGTTTCCTAATCATAACAATTATTGATTTATGTCTTTATCCGCCTACTAGACTCGGGGAGGAGCAGGGGTCTTCGAAACCTTTGCACACTTACCGAGCAACTTTGTGAGAACCCGTTCTTTTTAGTAACCCTAGAAATGCCAGGCACCAGCCCCATTTTTATACTCCATACATTACAAAATCCCTAGGCTAGCAGAGCACCCAACACATTTACAACTACGAATAAGAAACATTTCGTGGCGCACTTCCCCTGACAGGGAGAATCTTAGAGAAGACAATAATCTCAGAGGAAATTTCCGTGCATTCTTATCCATTATACCAGTCTCATTTCGAGTGGTCACGGAGCGGCTGAATCATCGTACAAGAACAAGATGTTACGGTGAAGCAGACTACTCCGGTCATCCTGGAGATCCAGGGTAGCTAGACAGGCAACGAAGTGTTTATCAGACA